GAAAGGAGGAAATATGACTCTTAAATTACCGAAGCGGGAATTTATTAATTTATGGTAGGCATGTAAACGCACGCAAACAAAAAGAATTACAAAGAAACAGCCGTCATACTCTATTAACTTTAATTTGTATTGGTGAGCAAACTCACGTATTAACGTACCTACGGAAATTAGCCATTTGTCACATAAAAGTAGACGCGAGTACGATACAAAAATAATTTAAGTTCTGAGAAACGATGACTATAGAATATTATAAGTAACATACGTGTATGAAGATGAACAGCTGCATCGTTTGTTGATTCATCTTTTATTTATCATAAAAGAAGAATCAATATTCATGATCAGGCTTGAAAAGAAGTTTGAACAGGTGTAAAGAGAAAATATCTGAAATGACGCCTAAATGTTATTTTTCAGTTCCGTGTTTAATTATTTAAAGATGGCTGACTATGCATGCAAAACGAACACCAATTAATTAAATTGTTTTGGTTAAGTGTAATTACCTATCGTGTTTACGATAACACGTTTTGATATTTCAAATCCTTGCTCTAATCATAGTACAAGAAATTTTCGATAACCATCTATATTTCTGTACTTATGCGTTAATCTTTTTAAATAAATGGATGAACCTATGTCTTTGTTCTTATCTGGATTTTTCAAGACATTAGTAATGTTATATAGCTTTAAAAAAAAAATACGAATTAGACGAAATGTCAAACCTTAGCCAAGAAAACCTTTGTCACGGGATTAGTTAATCAATTGCTTCAAAAACCTTTTGAAACGTATGAGCGCTTGTGAGTGGATTAGGAAGATTTACTCGTGTCTCGAATGATATAAAACAAATTACAAGGAACAGAGAATGATTATAGCTGGGTATAGTCAACCTCAACACTTTGTCGTGGTGATTAAACTGAAAACATGCGCGGTTTTCGAAGTGACCACTTAGCCTCTTCCTAATCCGCACATTCAAATTCTTCTAGGATTTTTTTAGGGCAATATTTTTTGGAACATAGTCACGTCAACATCATATCTAATTTAGGTGCGCGTACGTGACCTCCCAAATTAAGACTTTATAACGAGTCTCTTCTAGTCGCTGCCTTAACCATTGCGAAATTTGCGAGGCCCCGTGCTGGCAGATCATTGCGAGGCCCATTTCTTTATGGAATTAGTTTTAATGGTGATATTTGGAACAAAAACTCAAACACAACACATACTGCTGCTCGAACATAAAAGCATAAACCAACGACAGGTGACACTGGAGCTGGAAGCCAATCAAAATGATAGGTGGAATGAAACACGGAGAATCCCTAAACGTAAATCGATCGATTACGATTATTAACTTTTGATGCGTCTTTTCCTCCCGGATGAAAATTCGTATGCTAATTATTGACATGATACTGCAAGTAATGAAAAAAATCTGCTGGCATCCTTTAAACAGGCGATACATGCTTGAGGCTGGCTCCTGCGTTACACCTTTCAGAGCATCAGCTGACAAGCATTCCACCTAGATATAGCCCGCTGACTTTTTTATTTATTAACAGTAACATATAAACTTTTACCAGCTGACATATAATCCACTACTTCATGAATAGCTGATCATTTTTTCTTCAAGATATTGGGCTGACTATAATTTGATAAATTTTCATAAAATGACTAAACATTTTTTTTTATTACGTGCTTGGGCGGCTACCACTGCTCAACATACCTACGGAGTCGCAGCTGACGATCACCACGCTTTAGGATACAACACTCTGAAGCATTTTACGAGTTATCGACTGAGAGGAAGTAATTGACGAAATTTGCGCCTGAATAACGGACCAATAGGTACAAAACAGCAAACAGATTATGAAGTGTAGTGCTTGGGATTAATTAGCGAAGGCTATTTCTTTCTTAAGTAAAAATGTGGCGTGGGCTAGTGTGTTTTTTATTATTATTATTTTTCTATTTTTTATGTTTTATTTCATTTTCTCTTTTATTCGTTTTTTTTTCTTAATCTTGTTTTCTCTTCATTGTCTTTTTACCTTTTAGTCCTTAGGTAATAACGGACATACTGGCACACATCAAAAAAATGTTGTGGTATATTTAATAATGCCATTACATCTTCTCGTATATGTGAATTGCAAAAGAGTGGCCATGCGTTTGTTTGCTCTTTCTTGTCATAACGCTCAAACCCTTGGAAACAGGTGGTTGTAGATCGGCACAGGTACGAGTATATCATTGATTTTGTATGGGTTTGATTTTTGTACAATTTTTTTTGCTTACTGTTTGACAAAACAGAGATTGTTGCTTTTGTGTGTGTTGATCTATGACTTTAGAGTCTACATAAAAGACGATTTCAAACATTTTGTTTTTTTTTAAATAAAGAGAGTTTGAGTTTAAAAATATTCTCTACAAAAGTAAAGCACGCGAAACGTACCAGTGCTTTTATACAAGGTTGCCTGGTCCTTTTTGTGGTTGAACAAAAATTTTTTCTACACTCATCACCCAGGGTAAAATAAACTTAAAACAAACAATAATTGTAAAAAATTACTCGAAAACACGGAGGTCAGGGGATTTCAAAATCCTGATAAGAATAAACGTTATTCCCTTTTTTACGTCAAAATAATATATGTATCCTTACCTTAATAAAAGGGTAAACGGGCAAATGCCAGTTTTAAGACCACTGGCCAAAGCAAGAGTACTTCGCTTTGTTACATAGTATGTGAAATTGGTACACGGACCGATAGATTCGTTGCCGTTTCGTCTTACTTTCCCCTACTAGTGTTGAATATGAATTTAAAAGTTAGTGTTGTAGTACACTGTCATATGATAAATCAATTTTAGGGGAATTATTTCCTACTGTCGGTGTCTGAGCGGTGTCACCTACTCTTTCTTCTTTTCTTTTCTTCGATTCTTCTGCATCTAGCGGCACATTGGCTTTTGTGAGATAAGACAAAAAAGAGTGACACATAACGCTGTGACCTAATCGAAAACTTAAGATAAGATTAGAGTAGGTATGTATACACTTTTGATAAAGATTTTTTTATTAGGCCCTAAACCCACAGGTTTTTTTAAATAAAACTATTTCTGAGTAGGTATAGGTATTCTAACGGTTTAGAACCGTAATAAGACTAAACCAAACGATCATGACTCTTAGGAGCTATACTTTTTCCCACAATCATAATTCTTTTTTTATTATATTTTACTATAGTTGACTTTGAATAAGACACAACTCAAATCCTGAAATTTCTCCTATAGCAAAGGTGGGACAAAAGTAACGTAAAAAATAAGAACAAAGTCTAAATAAGGTAGAAAGTTAATAAATCACTAAACTATTACTACTTTCATAGACGACACATATGATAAAGGAAATAACGACAGAAAGAAAGAAAGTCAAATTAATTTGAGCTCATATCGCAGATGACACATCTGATCTCCTACAAAGCTTCATGAAACCTAGCTTATTTGATTAATGGTATACCGATTACGTATGTTTATTTTCAAATTTATTTATTTATACTTTGAAACCCAATTTTTCAATAATAAAACATTGACACTAAATACAAAAACTTAATTTTACGATACAATAGAATTAAACGTCATTTAAATTATAGCGAGAATTCGCTAGGAAATTCTTTGATACGAGAAAACCTCTAAAAGCTTGTTTGATGGTTGTTCACATTCAGTAAAATACCAAAACCTTACGAAAAAAGGTTTTATTATTTAGTGTGCAATGGCACTAATACAATTCGTACGTACTAATGTGTGATAGTACAGTTATTCAGATTGGTTGATTTCACTTCCTTATCTTATTGTAGTTGATCGAGTATATTTTATTGGTGTTTAATGAATCAATATTGAACCTTCTTAGTATTTAATCTTCTCCGAAACTTGTTAACCAACAGTATTGGGCAGGTTGTGTTCGGTGCAGCAACTAAACAGGTAAGAAATACAATATATTAATGGTGTAGGATATTATTTTGAATTTGTATTTATTATTAAACATTGATTTATATGTTAATATGTTATTTTATAGCATAGTGTAGAATAGTATGTTTATTATGTTTTTGATATTCGTAATTTAAACAAAAAATCTGTTTAAATTTTCTTAATTTAAATATTCATTTTTTTTTATTTATTTGAATCGCCAACAAACGATACACATTTCTACAGTAATTTAAAATTATACAAAAACATGCCTTGTGCTCATTCAGTTATAGGCAATCATGACTAACATAAACATTTAGTGTTTTTACTCTACCCGAGGCTTTTATGATTTAATGTGTAGACGGAAAAAAAAAATGTATTACTAGCTGTTTCGAAAAAAAAGCTCCTGTTGTACTAAACTACTGCAACAGTTGTAATAAACTTGTTAGTCTAAATAAACTTCTACTACGTATACCTAAATAACTTATAGTCATTCAAATTCATTATTAATATAAAAATATGATGTTCAAGTAAAATAGGCAATAAATATTCAATTTTGTTAAATATTAAAGGCATTAAAATAAAAAAAAACACAAACACGAAATAGCTGCTGCAGCAAATCTGCGAGGAGTTCCTTCCACGGCTTCAGCTTTCGTTATAATATTAACTAGATCTCCGTCACCTTCTAATGTCTTTAACTACATATCGTGTGTCAAGTTTCAATAAAATGAGCTCACAGATGAAACTCAGTGGGTGAGCTATCATGAATTGCCAATTTTTATAAATTGTACATTGGCTTTTTTTTTCATTTAAAAGGGAACCAACTTCGAAGTAGCCCTATCGAATGTAAACACAATGATTGAAAACGGACTGAACTATAAAAAGTAATGTACAGGGTAACTTGAGTCTTCTTCATTTTTTGTTCAGAATTAAAAGCTACATGCTATAGACGGACTTGAGATGATATGTTTGAGTGAGTTTAGTAAACAACCTTTATTTACTCAGTCTTAGAATACTTCTTATTTACAGAAACAATGAAGGTCCTGGCTGTTTTATCTTTGGTCCTGGCAGTGGCTGCCAGCTATCCGATTGTGCAGACTATGAGTCTTTCAGAGCTCTCAAATGCCATCAATTCCAAAGCCTACCCTCAATTACAGCAATACTTCGAGAGAGCCATTAACGAGCTAATGGACAACCTGATCAAGGGGCGTGATGTATGTGATATTTTTTTGTATATAGCTGTTTAAGTACATTATTTTTTCGCTTTTTAGCATAGTATTCGGTATGCTGTTAGAATAATAATTGTCACAGTCTTTAATTGTGTTCATGCTTTTACAATGTGCTCTTAAAATTTCAAGAATTGCTTTTAACAATTTGTTTGTGTCCATAGTGGACACTAAGTGAAGCTAAATTATTGAGTTAGTGTGGATTCTATGTACATTTAGTACGTTTCTTTTCCAGAACTTTTCACAGAAGGTGTTCTTATCACCTTCTGGTAGAGACAGGTGGACTATTGAAGAACTATCGAATGAAATAAAGGTAGTTCAAGACTCCAACGTTAATGACGATCGCAGAAATGCAATCTTCCAAGCTTATGGAATCTACCAGCAGAAAGCAGAAAGCGGCATAGTACTGGTAAGTCCTTTGTCAATCAGTCAATAATATTTAAGTTTGACTAATAATATATTAAATTAAATAATAATTATTAATATTATTAAATAAAATAAAATAAATTATAATAATATAATATAATATGACATGAGTCTATTTCTAAAGCACTTAAAACCCAACTTACGTTTCCTTTACTTTTGCACTGCTTTGTAATGCGTAAATTGTTAGAGGATTCTAAAATAAAGTTGTTGGAAGTTGTGCTAGATAGCCTTATTACGTTAAAATATCCTCACGTAAAATTAATGTTTTTTCCTTGTTTCATAGAAAGATATCCAAGTGGTAACCCCTGCGATGGACATTTCAGTATGGACTTACAAAGACCTGACAGCAGCTCGTGGCAACGCTAATATTGAACCTGAACTTTTACAGCATATTGACAATGCTCTTGCCGAAATAGAGAAGGTTTGAATACTTTTTCATTAAATTATATACGAAATTGTCGACGCCATTTGTAAAAATACCAAAAAATAAACGGCCAAAAATCATCATCATCATCATCAACAGCCTATACTAGTCCACTGCTGGACATAGGCCTCTCCTTAGAAATGAGGTTTTGGCCTACTATACCACGCTGGCCAGACGGATTGGTATAGGGTTTGTTTCAAGTTTTCCTTCTCTTTGCAGTGCTGTTGTCCTGCTTAGTTTGCTCCCTTAGTCGGCTCTTACGACACCCACGGGAAGAATTGGGGCGGTGACAATTTGTATTCTTAATCCGTCACCACACGGACCACGGCCACGGGCCAAAAATAACATTAGCAAATCCATCTGGTCGTTATTTTTAGCGGTATAAACTAAAGGGACGGTAACATTTGCATAATTCTAACTCTAAATAGTGCAAAACAAGAATAACAAAACAGTTTTTAATTCGATTAAAACAAAAATCACATTGCATCACATCAACAGCCTTTAATAGTTCACTGGACGGAAATAGGCCTCTCCTTAGAGGTTTTGGCTTACTATACAACGTTGGCCAGACGGATTGATGAGAAAAACGGTTTGAATAAAGGTATAGTTTAAGATAAATACGAGTGGAATGCAGTACAGCAAAACTAAAACAATATAGAAAATGATTACGACACGATGTTTCTGTTACAAAGAGTCTACCTGCTGTCTCCTAAATGTTATTAGGGAGATGATTCTACCAGATGTGGAAATATTTTACTAAGTGTGTATTCAGATTTTTTTATTAATTTAAAACAATACTATGGTGATTTTTTGATGAATGACAAGAAAGATGATGAAAAAAGTTGCAGTTATTAGGCCCACGTATCAGTGTAGGGTAATGAGAAAGATTTCGCGTTTAATATCGTTGATTGCACAACTAATTTAGCGATCGGTGCGTTAGATAAAGCGCGGCCTTAATATCGGGTTATCATCATTATCATACATTTGATGTGTTTACTAGGTTTACCATGGAACTAGGATATTTGTGATAGTTTTTGTTCATTCTGTGATATCTTTAATCATCCTACGAGCCTTTTTGCCAAACTAGTTTGGCAGCGGTTTTCAGTCGACGACGACATGGCTGAACCTCGATTTTTTCTGAGGAACAACTGCCACGAAACCGATACTATGCGATATCGAAATTCTGTAGATAGACTGTTGTCAGTCTTCTTAGGGCTCCAATTATCCATAATGATTGCCACATATGTTCGTATGGTGTGTCATATCTGTTCAAATATTTCAGGACCAATATTTCAAATTGAAGTTCTAAAGACTTATTAAATGTATTTTTGTTGCAGGACACATCAGGCATGGTAACTCGCGTTGGACTCCTACCTCACGAACCATTCTTTTAAAGATTACTGTTGTTTTTAAGTCAATTCTCTTACTTGACTGCCTGTTTGTTTACAGTTACATATAAATAAAGAAAAAAATTGTTGAAGAAGTATAAACTTTGATTTTAATTTATTTACGATGCATGCCTTTTAAGTTTATTATACACAACTAGAACCTTATAGTACTTTTTATTGTTTTTCAAAGTATTCACCACGTAGCTTGATACACTTTTCCATTCGCTCAAACCAGTCATATAATATTTATTCCACTCTAAAGTGGGGGTTTTCAAAATGGCTGACTTGAAAGCGTCGACTGCTTCTTCACCGGACTGGAACCTTTGACCACGAAGACTTTTCTTAATTTTAGGAAATGTAAAGAAATCGTTAGGGCTTAGGTCAGGGCTGTATGGAGGATTTCCAAGAGGCGGCGCGCCTGGCCACAGGGGGAGTCTCCCTGGTGGTCGGGCGCATTGAGGCGCTGGGCTTACGGGTGGCCCTAGATAAGACGGAGGCCCTGTTGTTTCATGGGCCCCGTCGTGGTCCACCCCCTGGCGCCTCAATCGTGGTCAACTCGGTCCTCGTACCGGTTCGGGCCCAGATGAAATATCTGGGCCTGATCCTCGACGGGAGGTGGCTCTTCGACGAGCACTTCCGACAGCTTGCTCCAAAGCTGGTCGGCGCTGCGTCTGCCCTAGGGCGACTTTTGCCCAATATGGGTGGACCCAGCGTTGCGACAAGACGGCTGTACACGGGGGTTGTCCGGTCAATGGCACTGTACGGTGCACCGGTGTGGGCGGCGGCTCTGACCACCCAGAATAGGGTACGCCTCTGGCGCCCTCAGAGGGTAATGGCGGTCAGAGCCATACGCGGTTACTGCACCGTTTCGACGGAGGTGGCATGCGCGTTGGCCGGAACTCCCCCGTGGGATTTGGAGGCGGAAGTGCTCGCCGAAGTTTATCGGCGAGTGGCTGACTCCCGGGCGGAGAGCGGATTTCGCCCTCCGCCCGAGGATGTGCGCGAGTGGCGCGAAGCCGCTCGCCGAGCCACGATGGCTCGTTGGTCGTTCCGGCTGGAGACTCCACGCGCTGGCTTCGCCGCCGTGGAGGTTCTCCAGCCGGTCATCGCCGAGTGGGCAGGGCGGCAGCACGGGACCCTTTCCTTCCGGCTGACGCAGGTGCTTTCCGGGCACGGTTGCTTCGGAAAGTACCTGCACTCGGTCGCTAGGAGGGAACTGAGTCCCGCCTGCCACCACTGCGACTGCAGTGAGGACTCGGCCCAGCACACGCTGGCGGTCTGCCCCGCATGGGCGGCGCAGCGCCGGGCCCTCACTGCAGTCATCGGAGTGGATCTCTCGCTACCGGCCGTAGTACGCTCCATGGCCGGTAGCGACAGTTGTTTTACCGCGGTCGCAACCTTCTGCGAGGTAGTAATCTCGCGGAAGGAGGCGGCGGAGAGGGCCCGGGAGGACGACCTCCACTCGGACCCGATGTCCCGACAGCCTCATGCCGCCCTGAGTGTGGCCGCGGGTGGACGGGGTGGGTTTCCCCTCCACCCGCATTAGTTTGGCCAGCCGCGAGGGGGCGGCGTCCGCGTGTGCCGGACGTCGCCTAAAGAGAGGAAAAAATATTGAGACGGAGCCCGCACCAGGAGCGGGCTGGCGCTAGGAGGGGTCCGGATGTCTTAACAACAGCTGTTCCCGGATCCCTCCTGTTACAGGCGCAGAGTGGCACACCGTGTGGTTTTAGTCGGTCCGAGTCCGACACACCACCCCGCCGCAAACCCCGGAGGGGTGACGGTCCGAGGGGATTTCCAAACGTTAAAAAAAAAAAAAAAAAAAGGGCTGTATGGAGGATGGTCAAGAATTTCTACTTTTTCCTACTTCAAATACTCAATCGTTTGACGAGCGCTGTGTGAGCTTGCGTTGTCGTGGTGCAGAATGATGCGTCGCTTTGAGTGAGATTTTCGAAGTTCAGCGATGACTTATGGTAAAAAAACTGTGGTATACCACTCTGCGTTAACCGTTCTACGATCTTCAAGTGCAATAGTCGCAACATGGCCGGTTTTTCCAACGAACGTGGCCATAATCTTCTTTGAAGTGCTTCGAGAACGAACAACTTTAGTCGGCTTTGGCTCGCCTTGAAAGACCCAGATTGTAGATTGTTGTTTGGAATCAGGATCGTAGGTATAGATCCAAGATTCGTCACCACTGATGATGTCGTAGACGTGATTTGACTCTCCTCATTTGAACCTTTGCAGTGTTTCCTTACACCATCTGACGCGGGCCGCCTTGTGATCGTCGGAAAGCAGATGCCGTATCCAAGGGCAAACTAGCTTTCTCACACCAAGCGCTTCATGCAAGATCTTCTGAATGGTTGTCCCTGAGATGCCTAATAGAGCCTCTATATCTCGATACGTCACATGACGACGATCTTCAGTAAAGGCGGATTTTGGGCGTACTTCGCGAGATTTGTCACTAACACTAGTATGTCAGCAGACATGGGGCTTCATCACTGAACACAGATGTTAGCTCTTCAGAACACTGAAGCCGTGTGCCTCTTCTCAAGTTGTAGAAAATTATTGCACGAACATTTTCCTTAGAAAGATTCTTTTTCGTACGTAGCCTGACAAATTCCAATTGACGCTGTGACTAAACAATAGCTTTAAACCTAATACTTTCAACTGTTTTGAGATTAAAAATTTAAACACATTCGAAAATAGAACAGTTCCAAATTCAAAATTGCCGGGAAATATGGCAACGACAGAACTTAAAAGGCATACCTAGTATAGGTCATCAATGGTGATATCAACAACATTGTCATACCTGGAAAGTTAAATATATCATTTTTTTACAAATTTAAAATGTACCGTTTAGCAAAATTTTACAAAGACATCCACGACATTTGTATTAGTGACAAGTCGTCGGGATTGGGGTTACATAGTAGAATAAGAGAAGTGTAACAATCATAAATAAAAAAATATAATTATATAAATATGTATATATTCAGTATTCTATTTAATGTCTCAACATTATAAGAAAAGTTAAGGTTATGCCTTAAGATGATATATTAATATTGAATGGACATGCACTAAGTACTGTTTGTAAGTTTTTTTTTATTTATCACATAAAACAACTTGACAGAAAATTTACAAAACGACAGCTTCTGGAGAAACCACATAGGTTTATGTTTGAGCCGTCGAGAGTTTACACTTTAATACAATGTAAGTAAATGAGGGTAGTTACATACTAGCATTTGTTTATTATGTGATACACTAATTATTGTATGCTTTGAAAACATTACATTAACAAAAAATAATCAAATAACAATAGCTACATTAGGTTAAGGAAGAATTGCTTTAGTTTACATTTAATATTTTTGTCGGTTACACTATTAACTAATTCATATGGCAAGTTATTAATACTAGTAAGTCTGTCAAGAAAGTACCGGGCAAAGATCAATAATACACAAAATGTTTGTTATTCATCCAAATTTATTTTATCACCTCCAAATTATGCTCCTTTAGAAACGATACACTTACGCCAACGAATAATCCAATCATCAAAACATTTTTTAAACGCTGTTTCCGGTATTGAGTTCAGTTCTCGCCGCGAATTCTCCATTATGTCTTCTACCGATTGAAAACGGGTGCCACGAAAAGGTAATTTGAGTTTACGAAAAGAAAGAAGTCGGCTGGACCCATATCTGGTGAATATGGCTGTTGCTCGATGGTATTTGTTGAGTGTTTGGTCAAAACTTCGTTCACAATTATGGCCTTGTGAGAAGGCGCATTATCGTGGTGCAAAATCCAAGAATTTTCTTTCCACAAATCTGGTCTTTTTCGTCGAATTTGCTCTCTTAAATGCCGCATAACGCTCAAATAATATTCTTAATTTACCGTTTCACTTTCCGACAAGAATTCCGAGTGCACAACACCGCGATAGTCAAAGAAAACAGTCAACATGACTTTGACTTTTGATCGACTTTGGCGTGGTTTTTTCGGTTTCGGTGCAGTTGGAAGGCACCACTCCGAAGCTTGTTGACTAGTTTGTATGTCAAACTCGTAAACACACGTCTCGTCACCAGTAACAATGCGTTTCATGAATGTTGGGTCGGAATTGACTCGTTCTAGCATGCCCTCAGCGACTCTCATGCGATTGAGTTTTTGGAGGAAATTCAGGTCTTTTGCGACTAGCCGAGCGGTAACATGTTTCATACCCAAATGATTAGTTAAAATGGTACGAATCGACTCGTGAGATACAAAAAGTTCGGTGGCTATCTCCTTCATTTTTGCGATGTTAACTTCTGTTGCAGACGTTGATGGCCTACCAGAGCGAGGCAAATCTTCCATCACATTTCGACCGCTTTTGAACGCTTTGTACCACTCATAAGCACGTGTTTTTGATAAAGTCGATTCACCGTAAGCCTTCTGTAACGTTTTCAGTGACTCTGAACACGAAATTGACGAAAAAATTTTAAGACAAACTCTTTGTTCGATGTTTTTGTCAAATTTGAATTTGGAACCATAAACAAATCATCCATTTCCGATACTTTTTTGACTGAATGTAAGTCGAGGTAGAATTAGTATTGTTAGCGCGTGACGTAAACAACCGGTTCTTAGAGATAGCACGAGTGTATACGGAATGTTCCATTGGTGATTTTAATGATTAATTAAAAAATGATATTTTAATATATTAAAATGAACTAGCCTATGTATCGGTAAACTTTTGCAGTGTTTGAAAAGTCCATTTGGATTGTCTTGAAGTGTGTTGTGTTGCTTCGTTTAATTATCCTGAAAAATAATAATTAATTATGTTACAGCTTCATGATGACAATTTTTCATCCACCTTCTAAAGCGCACGTGCCTATATAGAAATTGTATTGAATTTAGAAATAATAAAGTGTAAATTTTAATTCGGCTGGAAGTGAGTTAGTCAAAAAAAGACGCAAAGCTTAGCTTTGGTTTCTTAATTTGTGTAAAGGTTATGCCTTTACACAAATTAACCATATTTTAATGCAAAAATA